CGTGCGAGAGAAAAATGATTCTTTCTTTTTCTCGGAAAAGAAAAAAAAAAAAAAAAGAAAAAACAAAGTTACAGCTATCCGCTGTAACGCGAGTCGAAGATGCGCCGTTTCTAAAAATCTTCCTTTCCCCTTCAAATTTCAATTGCGCAAAGGCTGTCGTGGATGAGCTGTCACTCATCATCCTTTCACATTCACACGCTATACATTCCTCTACTTTTTTAAAACATGAAACACTTAATTCGTATTTAAAAACGACGTGTTACGGCGTGAACGTTCACCCACGATTGCCTCCAACTCAGAAGGTACTCAGACATTTCTTACTAGAATCACGTTGCACGTTGCTTTATACACGTTGAAAGTTCCCGAGATCGAGATTATCGGCGGCCCCCTGTCGAACAGACACGACGCAGAGGGCGGGGGAGGTTAGAGAGAGGGATACTTGCACACGCATTTCGATGTCGTTTATGCCCATTGTTTCTTTCGATATTTCATAGAAACTTAAAACCGCTAAAGCTCGTTTTGTTTCCGTTGCGCCCGTTAAAAAACTACTTATAACTCGAATTAACCGACGAAACCACGATAGCGCGCAACAATACAATCGGTCGATCCCCTAAGTTTCATCATTTTCTTAAGTTCTCTTCTTTTTTTATTTTTATTTTCTTCTTCTTCTTCTTCTTCTTCTTCATCTAATCGCATGAAAATGTTCTCGTACCAAAATATCTCTACGGTCGTTATAAAAAACGCGATTTATTTATCTTTTTTTTTCTCCTCCTCCTTCTTCTTCTTCTCTTCACGTGAAAGCAACAGCGACACGAACAACTTAAATTTAAGAACGATCCACTTTCACCTATTATACAAGACTAAGCCCCGGCTTCTCTCGAGGGTAACCTAACAGATAAAACGATACTAATACAAGCGTAGTTCATTTTTTTCTTTTTTTTTTTTTTTTTTTTGTTTCACGCGGAGGAAAATCTTCATAGACACCGCGCTCCTCATGGGGGCGGGAGGAGCGGGGAAGCGTAGTTTCACTGACTAGAGCGTAAGTCTCTTACTTTTTTTTTCTTTCTTCTTCGTCGTCTTGTCGGTGTTTATCTTTGGTATAGTTTCGTTCCTCGGCCCTGGCATTCCTTTCGTCCCGCTTCGTGCTCGTTAAATTAAATACGCGTCGGATTAAGAACTAAATAGCCTCTAAATATGCGCGAGTGAACTGGTAAATGAAATGACTAGTTGATTAGGAACGATCGAAATTAATGTTGAAGGGGTCAGGACAGTGTGAAATTTTCAAAAAATCAATTTTTCCTTTTTTTTTTTTGTTTTAAATAGTAGTTTAAAGTCCTAGCCTTTAAAACGATTTATTTGGGGGTATAATAATAAATCCGCAGAATAATTGAATTTGTGTATCACTGTTTACAACTTTAAGCAGTGTTATAAAGTGTAAATCGTGTGATTTAAATGTTAGTTTTGGCGAATCGAATACTGGGGGACTTGGATTCAATTTAGTTGTGAATTGTAACAACTGTGAGCCGCGATATATAAGTAAAAAAAAGTAAGTGGAGGATATATATGAAAAATGACGTTCTGAAACTAGGTTTTTAGAAACGGTGTGCGAGATATCTCGGAATCTAACCAACCATTTACTGTGAAACTTGGTGCGTATCTTTAGTGTAACATTTAATTAGGAATTGACGATCGAACATTTTTGAATTTTTAACAATTTCGAAAAATAAAACGTGGAAATTTTTGGCATAAATTCGACACATCAAAAACAAATAGCTGCCATTTCCATAATTCTCACAAAAATTTAGTGTAACATTTAACTAGGAATTGACGATCGAACATTTTTTAATTTTTAACAGTTTCGAAAAATATAAACAATAAAACGTGGAAATATTTGGCATAAATTCGACACATCAAAAACAAATAGCTGCCATTCCCATAATTCTCACAAAAATTTAGTGTAACATTTAACTAGGAATTGACGATCGAACGTTTTTTAATTTTTAACAGTTTCGAAAAATATAAACAATAAAACGTGGAAATTTTTGGCATAAATTCGACACATCAAAAACGGATAGCTGCCATTTCCATAATTCTCACAAAAAAACGGAAATGTTGGATCGTCAAACCCTAGAGAATGTTGTTTACTTTTGAATTATTTTTGCCTTTTTGTTGCAGCTAATCCGATAGACAATGTAAAGAAAAGTTGTGTAAAAGTTTAACAAGAGCCTTCTGTTTTTCTTTTTGCTTTTTCTAAGTTCACAATGTGTTAAAATACCCACAAAAGCTCGTGTGTCAATCAAACAGCGTAGTTTCTTTTTACTAGCCGTCCAAAGTATACGTAACTTTTAGGCCCGTATCACACTGTCCTGCCCCCCCTCCCCCCCCCCCCCCCATCGTCATCCGCAGCTCGTTTTTCCGCGTAGAAAAGTTTACGTTCTGCCATGCGCGTCTGTCGTCTAAAACTGAAAAACATTGCGCATTTGGAAATTACTGGCTGGATCGTTAAATGATTGGAATTATCGAAGAAGATGTTGGACTTCTTTTCCGACTTGGATATTCCCTCGATCGATCGACTGCGAATTTGAAAGGTTCTGACTAGATGGGCGAGGATCAAGAAATTCTTCCCCCGATTCCCTCGTTCGTCTGTGAATACGTGAGTATTCGAGTATTATTTTATAAACGATCTCTAAGCTCTCGAGGAAAAAAATGTAGAAACGCCGTTGGTCTCGCTGGCGTGTACTTTGTGACAACGAGGAAATTACTCAACGAGGAGAGGATGTTCTATAATTTAGGAGAGCGAAACGAGAGAGCGACCCTTTCGCCATCAATGGTCATTCCTGCATTCAACAGGTGGTCCAGTTTACGTGAAATGTTGATGAAAACCTTCGACGTGTGCCCATCCTCCCGCCGTCGCTTCCATTGTACGCCAAAGGCGCCGATGGAACTTGGGGAAAAAAGGATGCCTCGAGGAAATTACGTGTTCGCGTGGAAACTTTTCGCGATCCCGACGTCGACGGCTATATATATATATAGCTATCGAATATCAACCTTAATTCGCGAAATCACCTCGGCAATGATCAGCTTACGACGTGCCATATATCGATTTTACCTAGTCGCGAAGATATTGCCGTGTTCGTTTGTGAAACGAACGCCGAGAAAAGAAAATGAACAAAAGCACGCGGAAAGTTCAGAAAAAACGAAATCTCGATTGCTTTCAATCTGTGCTCGTTTTATAAAGTATTAGGACACGCCAGAAAGAAGTCGAATATTTCTAACAACGTGTTCACGGTCCTGTATCAGATCAGATTCCAGAAGAAACATTGCTGCACGATATCTAAAAAAAAAGAACTCTCAAGTATCAGAGAGAAGATCATTAAATCGACAAGGCAGTCGGCGCGCACATTGCGAGGCGCACGTTGTTTCCATTGGATCTCGAAAGTTCTTCGACTGGAATTGACCGGGTTTTCCCCATCAACGATCGGCGATTCGAAATGAATTTTTACTCACAAATTGATGGTCCCTCGATAGTATTGCATCGATTTTCGCCGCGTTGTTCGTTCGTTCGTTGCCCATCTCTATCACGTAGCCAGGCCCTTTCATCGGAAACTGAACGAGCGTCGTTTCGTTTCGTTTCCACCCTTGATGCCACGCGAATATCGATTTCACCGGACGACCAGAGCAGAGCAGAGTCTCGTCGAACCGTCCGCGGACGAAAGGAATGCCGTTTGAATCGCGTCATCCGAAGGAACACGCATCTCCTCACCTCACGACAATTCATCCCTCTATTCACGTTCCATATTCGTCGAACGTTACTCCCTCTGTTATCGCGAAACGCGACTTTAATCTCACAGTTTATACGCGTACCGCCTCTTCGCTCGTACAAAGAACGAAACGAGAATGCAAAATGTTGACTCAACCACCAGACGCACTCTCGTGTTTTGTCTCAGTTTTGTCCACCTGCTTTATGGAGTTTCGTCTTTCGAGAACGCAATCTCCTTTTCGGTGAATTTCCTTTTTCCTTTCCTCGATAGCTTCTGGCGTGACTTGAACCGCGAATCAAAGTGCGAAGTTTCGAAATCGTTTCGCTTACCCAGAAATTCTGGAAATTCGATGACTGATTGCGGCTGTTGACGACGAAGAATCACCTTCTGTCGACGACGGTGAAGTTCTTCGTTGTTTCTTGTGTTTCGCGGACGACTCGTTTCTACTTCATCGTTTGATCAAGAAACGTGAAATTGTTAGGAGTCTGGCAGGTACAGGAAGGGACACGACGAAGCAGTCATTGCCGCAGCTATCGAATCCTAGAGATTGGAATTGGAGGGTTTCTTCTTGCATTATTTAAGTTCCTCGTCTGACGTGTCGCCTGGCTGGAACGAAAAAATTTGCACGTTTTGATTCACTCAGGAAAGGAGAATTTCTCTACAGACTTAGTGATCTCTGTCAGAGATCTTGGCACTTTGTCATTCAAGTATTTTATACTAATCAGCCAAACGTTTTTCAACTTTCAACGATCCTTTTACTCTTGTAATTAAATAAAGATTTAATTTATATAGATATTTAATCTTAATTTGTAAGCAAATAAATAAATATTTTTACTCTTGTAATTAAGCGAAGATTTAATTTATATAGATATTTAATTTTAATTAGTAAGCAAATAAATAAATATTTTTACTCTTGTAATTGAATGAAGATTTAATTTATATAGATATTTAATCCTAATTTGTAAGCAAATAAATAAATATTTTTACTCTTGTAATNTGAATGAAGATTTAATTTATATAGATATTTAATCTTAATTTGTAAGCAAATAAATAAATATTTTTACTCTTGTAATTAAATGAAGATTTAATTTATATAGATATTTAATCTTAATTTGTAAGCAAATAAATAAATATTTTTACTCTTGTAATTAAATGAAGATTTAATTTATATAGATATTTAATCCTAATTTGTAAGCAAATAAATAAATATTTTTATTCTTGTAATTGAATGAAGATTTAATTTATATAGATATTTAATCTTAATTTGTAAGCAAATAAATAAATATTTTTACTCTTGTAATTAAGTGAAGATTTAATTTATATAGATATTTAATCTTAATTAGTAAGCAAATAAATAAATATTTTTACTCTTGTAATTGAATGAAGATTTAATTTATATAGATATTTAATCCTAATTTGTAAGCAAATAAATAAATATTTTTACTCTTGTAATAGAATGAAGATTTAATTTATATAGATATTTAATCTTAATTTGTACGCAAATAAATAAATATTTTTACTCTTGTAATTGAATGAAGATTTAATTTATATAGATATTTAATCTTAATTTGTAAGAAAATAAATAAATATTTTTACTCTTGTAATTAAATGAAGATTTAATTTATATAGATATTTAATCTTACTTTGTACGCAAATAAATAAATATTTTTTTTCTCGCACAGATGCAATTATTTTCCACAGATTCTACTCTGATATTCTCCACTTTCTAAACTTTACTTCTGCTCAATTGCTCCGAAAACTACCTTCAATAAATTCACTCGCGAATTTTTGCCGATCGTTCCTCAAATCTCACGGACCAGCAGAAAGACCGTGCGAAAACTTACTCGATGGAGTGCAGCGACACTAGCGCCAACAGTGAGCCTAACTCCGGCGAGTCTACTGGGGCGCGTCTGGGTCGTTGTTGAGCTCGTCGTTCTCCCTCTGACAGGCGGACTCCAAGTGCTTGTTCAGGTAGGATTTGAGCGCGAACGATTTGTGACACTTGTGGCACTCGTAGTTCTTGTCCGCGGAGTGGGTCTGCATGTGGGCGCGGAGATTCGACCGGTCGGCGAACGCTTTGCCGCAATGCGCGCACCCGTACGGCTTCTCGCCCGTGTGACTTCTCAGGTGGCCTTGCAGCAGCCACGGCCTGGAGAACATCTTGCCACAGACGCCGCAGCTATGTGTCAGCTTGTGAGTCAGCACGTGCATCGCCAAGGCTGGCATGCTCACGTACGCCTTGCCACAGTGGATGCACTTCTTCGCCGACTGAGAGTCGATGCTCCGGTGTGTTTGCTTGTGCCGCGACAGGTTCGACGACGTCGCGTACTGTTTGCCTGAGAACAGAGAATTGCTGATGAACGATGTGCTGGCACGAGAGTAACTGGCATTCGAGGTTGTATGGATTCTCTGTTTTATGAGAGAAAGGGAGTGAGTAATTTTGTAAATGTGCACAGTGCTTCGTTTATATGAACCGAATTTTAGTCAATTAAATATTATTTTGATATTTTAGTCAATATATTATTTTATATATATATTTTTTTAATTCAATATATTATTAGTGACTATATATGTATATATATATTTTAGTCAATATATTATTAGTCAATATAGATATTTTAGTCAATATATTATTCGTCATATATATATATTTTAGTCAATATATTATTTTTCATATATATATTATTCAATATATTATTAGTGATTATATATGTATATATATATATATATATTTTAGTCAATATATTATTAGTCAATATACATATTTTAGTCAATATATTATTAGTCAATATACATATTTTAGTCAATATATTATTACATCAATATATATATTTTGGTCAATTAAATATTATTATTTATATTGCAATTTTTAATAAAAATGTAAAATAAAATGTTTCAAGTGTTTCAAAATTCAAATTCATTATATTCCGATAATTAGTATGACTAAATAAGTATGATGAAATTCTGAACTGGTCGAACTCCATTTATTCGAACCTGAACTGTTAAATTGCAATGAACGAAAAAATTACTAGTTGAGCAGAAACTGTGTCGTTCAAGTTCATGCAAATGAAGTTTCAAACCGTATTTTGAAAGGCAAGAGAAAAGTATTAAGCAAATTAATTTCCATGAAAGTAAATGTTGCCCTCGACAACGTATAAAGATACTTTCAAATTCCTCCCTTGCAATTCAATTGCGAAACGTGACGGAGAAGCGAAACGAGAATTAACAACGATGGGTGATCCAACAGTCACCATCGTTGGATCCTCTCGGAAGACCTACCGCACTCGCAACAGACGTAACGTCCGATCTTCGACGTCTCAGGCGCCTCGACTGGTTCAGCCTCCTGCGCCTTCTGGATCGGCGCTATCTTCTTGTTCTTCGACCTGCCGTCGGCCACCAGCAGAGTGTCGTACGTGTAACTCGCCGGTTTCACCTCGTTCTGCTCGGTCACCGTTTGCACCTCCTTGTCCTTCTGACTTGGCTGCGAGTTCGGATTGTTGTTCTCGATGTCGCTGTTGCACTCGGACGTGGGTGGCGTTAACGGCGGCACCGCCTCTATGCTCTGATGGAACTGTGGTTGCTGCACCGGCAGCAGCTGAGGTGGCTGCTGGGCTGCCATGATCGGCGTGCACGGGATGGACGGTGTGCTGTAGGTGAGCAGAATCTCTTGAACCGGCGACAGAGGGATGAACACGCTGCCGGTTTGCTGGACTATCGCCGCGCTCGGCTCGTAGATGATGCTCGACGCTTGGTGCTGCTGATGATGCGCGTAGATGGTGGAGTTGGCCAGGTCGATGGTGTTCACTTGGTAGATGGGTTGGTCCGGTTGGTACACCGTCATCTCTTGGATGTCAGTCGCCGGCGACTCTATCACGCTCTGCGGCCCGATGGCGATGCTGGGCGGTGGTAACGGGGGCAGCGATCTTGAGAGCTCTAGTAAATCGTGTGCAGCCTCGGTCTCAGCTGCTGAACGGTCTTTGAACATCGGGGACACGTAATTGGTAATCACGATGCCATTATTGGACCCTATCCTTGAAACGGACGTGGAGTTATTCGCCGTGATTTCTTCCACGGGGGTGTGGTACGGTGGTGTGGCGGTGCTCGACGGCGGAGAAGGATCCCCCGGTGGCGTGTGATGGTGCACGTTCGCGTGTTGCTGGTGTGAACCGTTGTCTGTGTGAACTGTTGTTTTGGACGGTGATCTGGGAGCGGCGAAAGGCAACGTGGACGTGGTGGTCGTTGTGCTCTCGACGCCCTGGGCGATCGATTCTGTCGTTTGCGGAGTTACCACGGTGGATGGCGAGCTAGCGGCCGGCGTGCTGATGATCACCGACGTCTCAGTTCGCGCTATAGGCGACGATTCGCTCGCTAGCGGTGTGCTAGCGGCGCTTATCGTCGTCGTCGTCGTCGTCGTCGTGTCCACATTGCTAGGCTCGTTTACCTTCTCCTTGGGGACGTTCTGTTCGAGCGTCTTCGCTCCTGTCGTCGCAGTCGTGTCTTGGGACTGCGTGCTCAGGCATTCTACGGCAAAGAGGATAATATATCTGTAGCAACACTGCCGCGTTCTCAATGAGCAATTCTCGAACGGGTACACCGGGTACTTCGAGATACACCGTCTGTTGAATATCATTTATCAAATTTAAAATCCGCTACCGCGTTCTTAAAATCCTACCCTCAAAGCGAAAACGAGGAAGCTGGATGAAATTCAATAACCGCCGCTGCTTTTCCTCCTCCGCGAGAGAAAGAAAGAGAGAGAGAGAGAGAGAGAGAGAAAAATGAAGAAGAGAAGGGGAAAAAAAGAGGGAAATACAAAGATGAGGCGAATAACTTTGAGCAAAGGAGTGGAAACAGCGTCGTCAGCCCTATCCCGTCAGCGACAATGCGGTATTAACGAGACAACTGACGAGCGACAGCGCGGCGCGTAACTCGATTTCTTAATTTGACTTTTTAATCGAGATTTAACGAGGAGAAGGGACGCGGGCAGGCGAAGAGAGAGAGAGAGAAGCGTGCCGGGTTCTCTCTTTCTCTCTGTTGTCGACGTGCCAACTCGAAAGAGTGTCGAACCTCGTTGTAACAGCGGCAGAGAGGGCGAGACGAAGGAGGAGGAGGAGGAGGAGGAGGAGGAGGAGGAGGAGGACCAGGGATTATGACGGCAAGCATGTTGGAAACGAGGTCAAAGGGGATGGGTGGATGGCCAAGGAAAGTGTACAGACCGAGCGGATATAAAATTTCACGATAACTCGGTTATGGAAGCTGCGTGTTTCGTCTTCTCTCCGCGACCCACCTTCTTATTTCTCTTTCTCTCTTACGCCCTTGTTCCCTTTCAGGGAGTCGTTTCGGGGCTCTTGATTCGCTGTTGTTCTCTCTATTTCACGGACGCTTCTCTCGCGGGGGCAAGTTTCTCCGCTATTAGCGCGACAACGTGACGAGCCTGCAACTTCCCCTAGAGATCTACGAGTCTTTGGCTCTCGTCGGCGAATCTGGGCTACGAGAGGATCAGGCTGACAGAGCCTAATTCACGCATTACGGACTTCTTGGACACCTTTAACTTTACTTTCATCGATTCAGCGGTCTGTTGTCGAAGATCGCGCTTTGCGTTTTTAGCCATGACTGTTTCCTGAGAGAAGCCTGAAGATCCTAATTGAGGAGCTCTTTCTGTTTGAATCGATCAACGGAGCTCGGAATTTCTCCGAATTGGCTTTAAATACACTTGGTATTTGCTAATTTTAGCGCCGATTGACTCGATTGAGAGACCGCAGAAGATTCGCGAAATTAACGAAGATGAAGTGAGACAAGAGCGAGTGAAAAATCTATCTATGTTTCTCAAGGCCGCGCCATTTTTTTTTTTTTTTTTCAAATCCCAACCGAAGACTACGTTTTGTCTCGAAGCAAGTTTCTGGCGATTTTACGACGCGTGTCGTTCGTATTTCACGTTCGATTGGCCTGGTTTTACCGGGAGAGGCTGCAGGCAAGCGTGTACAGGCATTGTAACGAGTCTTAAGTGCGGTCTTTGTAGCTCCATTAACGTCTCCGGCAAGTTTCGCATGACACTCTCTCATTCACTCGATTACTGAACGCGGGGCATAAACCGAGCCCTTTACAAAACGGGGCCGTAGCTGGAAACTGCCGCCACCGGCAACGACAATTCAGACAATTAATGTAGCTTTGCCGTGGCGAGTAACACGTTACCGCGAATTACCCCGAACGCCACTAGGAATTTCCCACCGCCATGCCATAAAATATCGCCACCGCCAAAAAGTCCTTTCTCCAAATATTTGGGAAAAAGTGTTTGTTCATCGCGTTATGAAATTCACGTGGTTGATTTCCGTGGCTTGGAAAATTGGATTTTAATCGAGCAATCGAGCATTTTTGATATTTTGTTCTTTCGCGTCGAAAACGATCGAAATTTCATTCATCCACCTGTAAAGTTCAGGAATTTTCCAACGATAGGAAAAGCACTTGATGATATACGGAGGATACATCGAAATTTAGTGTATTTCAAATTTTCCTTTCTTTTTTTCTCGTTACTTTCTCCAATTTTATTTTTCATTTTATTACTTTCTTCAGTGGTAGAAAATAATCAATAGTGTAGAAAAGAAGAAATGGAGCAACAGTAGACAGATATCATGAAAGAGAATTTTATACATAAAGTTACTGCTTAATTAAATTTGGATAACAGTCACTAAAGGGTTAAAATTATAATATATTAAAATTATATTAATAATTATATTATATTGTAATTATAATTATAATATATATTAATAATTATATTATATTATAATTATGATATATTAAAAATAACTAAAACCAAGCAGTTAAAATATTACCAAGTCTACTTTTGGGCTGTGAAGCCGAAATTAAGTAAATACAAATAAGTCTTTTACTTTTTAAAATTATATTAATAATTATATTATAATATGTTATGATTATAATATATATTAATAATTATATTATATAATATTATAATTATGATATATTAAAAATGACTAAAACCAAGCAGTTAAAATGTTACCAAGCCTACTTTTGGGCTGTGAAGCCGAAATTAAGTAAATACAAGTAAGTCTTTTACTTTTTAAAATTATATTAATAATTGTATTATATCATAATTATAATATATTAAAAATAACTGAAACCAAGCAGTTAAAATATTACCAAGCCTACTTTTGGGCTGTGAAGAGGAAATTAAGTGAATACAAACAAGTCTTTTACTTTTTAATATAAAAAGAAATTTTCTAGCCACAGAAAAGTACGATTCGATGGGAAATAATTCGGAGGACACAGCGTAAGCTTTTTGAAAATAAATTTACAATGTGTTTTGTTAATTTTCTCGATATTGATTCCACTCGATGAAAGTTTTTTTTCCATCGGAATTTCCGTTACGAGCCATCACCTTAAATAAAAGTACGAACGACTCGGTGGTTTCCACGAACTCGTGGTTCATTAGTTACTTCCAGCAACATGAACAGAGCGAGGAGCAATTTAGTTTTTTGCAGAGATATGCAGAAGGTTTTCTTGCGGGAATGGTTTCCTCCAGAAACGAAACACGCGTCGGTGCAGCGCCCCAACACGAGATGAACGATATATGACTACAGGGTGAATCAATACCGCGAGACTTTGGCACAAGTAGCAACATTCGTATTAATTGTACTTAACGGCCACGTTGGCTGAAATATCGATCATTCGTTTTCCATCACGGAGCAACGTCGTTCGTTTTTAAATCTTTACGCGCGGCTGCGTCTCGGACGCGTTCGATTATCGAATCGACCACCGTTAATTTCACTTGTAATTCGACATCGCCCGTTCCCAGATTGTTCACGCGACGAGAATTATGGATGCAATGGTTTAAAATAATCCTAGCCTACTGTGCAATATATAATCAATAATTCTGGAAATCGTTTTCAAACAAGTCTCAATTCTAAGCAGAAAAAAGAAAAAAAGGATTTCAATAAATCGAATAGAAAAGATACTTATTTTTTTTCAAAGAATTAATCGAAAGATATACGACTAATTTCGAGTAAATCGAAAGATGTAGACTTTCCTCTTCATTTGGAAAAAATTTCAAGCGAGTACAGATAAATTCAAGTCGCAAAAGATCAAAAAGAAGTACAAGCAAATTCCAAGATGATAAATTAAAGTAGCGAAGTGATAAAAAAATTTCTAAAATAATTATGATAAAAAGAAGGAAATTTAATAATAAAATGAGAAAGATTTCTAAAATAATAATAATAATAAAATACCTACTACATCAAAATAATAATAAGAATAATAATAAAAAAAGGAAATTTAATAATAAAATTAAAAAAAATTTCTAAAATAATAATAAAATATCTACTACATCAAAATAATAATAATAATAATAATAATAATAATAATAATAATAATAATAAATAATAATAAAAAGAGTAAATTTAATAATAAAATAAAAAAAAATTTTTTAAATAATAATAATAAAATACCTACTACATCACAATAATAATAATAATAGTAATAGTAATAATAAAAAAAGGAAATTTAATAATAAAATAAAAAAAATTTCTGAATAATAATAATGAAATACCTACTACATTAAAATAATAATAACAATGATAATAAATAAAAATAATAATAATAAAAAAGAAAATTTAATAATAAAATAAAAAAATTTCTAAAATAATAATAATAATAAAATACCTACTACATCAAAACAATAATAATAATAATTAATAAAATAATAATAATAAAATACCTACTACACCAATAACAACAACAATAATAATAATAAATAAATAAATAAATAATAAGTAAAATAATAATAATAATAAAATACCTACTACACCAAATTATATCAAAGAAGTAAGAGGAATGAATCAGTCGACTTTCAACGTCTCAGTGTCTTTCTTACGATCGCAGCAAGTATCAGGCATCAAGAGCTAACGAATCAAACTCCCACATACTCCGTAAAACCTGAAATCTCCGATCACCTACGGTTTCTACCATAAAGAATCATGCTGATTTCGATCGTTTAATTATGGTAGCAGGACCGTGATAAGGAGAGAATAGGGAAGAACTGCGGCGTTCCTCGTACCAACGATCGTACCTTGAGCAACAGGGGGTGCGACGCTCCCTTCTATGGGAGAAACTGGAATCTGTATGGTGGTCGGTGATGGCGTGCTCCTTCCGCGACCCCAGCTCTCGAATCCTCTGGCAACATTGCTTATATACTTGTTGCACAGGGCCTTCTTCACCATGTAACACCGCGGCATCTTGGCTATTGGTTCTGTTTTCCCTCGATCCTATTGGATTAATTAAAAAAAACAACAACAACAACTCTGGCTCTCGGGTAGAGAGAAATTCGGATTTCTAATATCCTGGCTATCCTGGATATCACGTTCTATCGCAGTGTCGTTGGTACTTTCTTGAAAATACGAAACCGGATCGTGTATGAGAGAATCAACGATTTTTCTACTCCCTCGCGAAAGATTGTTGTTTCTCAGGTTCTTCCGTTTTCCGGCGTGTGTTGGACAGATTATTGGAGCAATTGTAAAGAGACGAGGGATGAAAAACGAGGAGTAAATCCTTCCGGTCTTTGCGTTACTTTCAAACAGATAGATATCTTTCTATTTTCCTCGAAAGGTCGAGTCCTCTCTTCGGTTACTTGTATTTTCACAGCACCGTGTAGATCTTCGACTCTCTCTGTCTCTGATCAAAGAAGAATACGGGCAAGAGGAGATCTCTCTCCAATTTTTCTATTCCTTCGCGAGCAGAACAGAATCCTCCCCGAAATATGGTCGATTCTCGAAGCAGAGTCGGTACTTCCAGAGCACCAGATAGACGCACCGATGACGATCGTCGTTTATCGGACAATCGATCGCGGGGGCTTTCGATTCGCGCAAAATGTCGCCCTGGTGGTCCTCGTGGAGGCCACCAGGATTACGGTTCGATTCAGCGATCAAGCAGCTGCTCTCAGCTCAGCAACACCGCCGCGTCGTCGTTTCTCATCGTCCATCTCCTCGTCCTCATCTCCTACTTCTCTTCCTCTCGCCTACGGTCCGATCGCCTCGTTCTCTTGCTCGTTTAACCAAATTCCTGTGTGTTCCCTGTGTGTTTCGCGCGGCGAAGCCGTGTGTTCCAAGCGGTTCTCGACGTACGTGCGAACGTTCTCGAGAGGAATTAGCCGAACTCGAAGTGACCGCGGCACAGCATCGGCATTCGATCGGCAACGTATTTGGTCGGAACACGGGGTCCCTCTCTTCGCCGGAAACGCCGATTTCCGATCCGCCGCGCTAATTTAATTCTAGATGTCGTTGCACGGTTTTTTTTTTTTCAAAGCTACGCGTGTGCTCCACGTAGACGTACGCGACACACGTGCCTTTGTTCGCGCGTGCGTTTATAAATATACTTGTACATCCGTGTATGTATCTGTTACACAGTTGCACGCGCGTGTGTACATGCACACATATATAGATTTATATTAAAATATCTCTTTCGGCGAAGCGAGTCAGTCTCCAACTCGAGATTTTTGGATACACCTGGAAGTGCTTCAAAACTATCCTTCAAAGTTCCTTCCTGCTGCAATTATCTTCTTTTCCCTTTCTTTCTGTCGTGTGTGTGTGTGTGTGTGTGTGTGTGTGTATGTTCCAGGTGAGATTCCTTCTGATAACTCCTCGAGTTCATAAGAGAGAGAAGAGAGAGAGAGAGAAAGAGAGGAAAAAAATTGTGTACCTTGTTTTTTGCTTTATTTCTTCTTAATTTCGCCTCTTTTCTTAGATTCTCTTTGTTTGCTTTACCTTGTTTGTAGTATTGCTTTCGTTGTATTCACGGGTGGAAGATTACGTGTTTTCTCGATCCTCGTCTACTTCTGCTCTGTCCTTCGTTTCCTGTCGCCTCGTACGGTGCTTACGTACTTACTCTGGATCAATCCTCTACCCGCACGCAGCATCATCGTAGCTGAATAAAATCCCGAAAAACTATTCATCCGTGTCGACTGTTTGTCAACGGCTGTGTCCTCTTCCTTTTCAGTCCTCCCCTCTTGGAAAATTTCCCAATCTCGATGAATACTCGCTTTCAGCGTTCACGGTTGCTAAAAACTGTACGTATGCTTCACGATCGAGCATTCATGCTTGCATGTTTTATTAACACCTTGGTTCGGCACTCGTTCTGCACCGCAACGAGTCTCTCTCTCTGTCAGAGGTGAAGTCTCTCGCCACTCTAGATCTTTCTACTCGCCCTCCTGATCCGAGCATCGTTCCATTCTACCGGCAACAATCTCGTAAAGCGTCGGGCGTGTACATTTTCGCGGCGATACCCTCATCTCGGCGATTTCCCAGCGCGGCTGAACGAGTCTGACGCGTGCTTCGATTCCCGACGCGAAAAAAAACGCGTCCTCCTATTCAACAAAGAATCTCTCGCCGTCAAGCGGATTCCTCAGCAAGGAACAGACGTCGAATCACCAGTTTCCTGTTTTCGCGTCAGCAGGAATCTCGAAGGCTGCAAGTCTCGGCCGGATGTTTCAGCCGAGGAGAAATTTCGGGAATTTGGTTTCGCCGTTTGACCGTGTTCTTCGAGGTTTTGACGAAAACAACCGGAGGTCCTTTTTCGAAAAGGCGAGCGTGTGTGAGTGGCGGATGGTAGACGAGGTGTGCCTTTTGCAGGGACGAGCAACAAGTTGGACAACAGGTCCGCGATGTTTGTGTATCCGTACGTGTGCGCTGTCGCCTTACGTGTGTAGTCGATAACTCCCTCTGGTAAGTGGTCCCCTCTCCTTTTCTCTTTCTCTGTCTCTCTTTTGCCACTGTCTTGGCGTCAACCCGCTAGCACTGGCGGTCCTCGTTGCCGAGCGCAGCCAGCGGCAAGCAGCAACCCTCTTTCGCCAGAACCTTTCCGCGACTTGCTTCGCCCTCGTCCCTTGCCAACCTCCGGTTGCTCCTCCGGTTTTCCACCGCGAAAGGAGAGAGGAACCCCGCGTGAAGCTACAACTCTGCCCTCGTGCGGCTGTTCGGCGGGCCTCGGTCGAGCAGCCTTGGATCGTCGGTGCTCAACGACTCACGGCGACGAGCCACGTACGTACGCGTTCCTCCTAGTCCCTCCTCGCCGTGGACACTCTTCCTTCCTTCCTTCGTCCCCACCTGCCTCTTCTTCCCGTTCCTCTCTTCCTCTCCGACACTTTCGATTGACGACAGAAATAATTCAGGCTCGGGCTTCGACGTTGCTCTACGTTGCCCCGGCGTTCGATACGCGACCCTGTCGTGGCTCGAGCTGCGCGGCTTGCCTTTGAGCAATTCACACAGAGAGAGAGAGAGAGAGAGAGAGAGAGAAAAGAACGATGTTTCGCACTGTACGTGTATGTATGATATCACGCGAATATCACGCAACGAACGTCGACTTGAGAGGAAGTTTCGAACAGGGGGGAACGAATCGGTGGTTTCTCTTGCAAGCGGTAGCACACGACGCGAGTGGCACACGACGGGTCGTCCCTGGACACGTAGCGAGAGGCACACGACATGGACGTGGAGGAGACTGCGGCGGTTACGAGCAGCAGGACGCGCGCTTCGTCGACCGGTCAACGACAGATCGAGGCTCCTCCATGGGCCCCGGTGGCGTTCGACGACGAGGCACACTGGACGTGAACGTCTACGGGCACGAAGATCGAAGATGAAGATGTACCACCTGTGGGCGCAGAAGCAACAATTGTCCGCCGTGTATCGCGGTGGAGGGTAGCCCGACTACATGGCTCGTACCGGGTGTGGCTGGGGTACAACTGCCAATGCAGCGTCGTCGAGCAGCGTCGCCCCGCGTCCTGGGCGCCTGCGTCCTTTCCTCCTCGCTTCGTGCAGAGAGCTCCTTCTCGCTTCCCACCCCGCGAAAGGCCGCCGCACGTAACCTGCCCGGTGTTGCCCTCTCTGTCCTCCCCAGTCCTCTTCCACCCTCTTTTCCCACCCACCTCGTCTCCTTCTTTCCTCCGTGCTCCCACCCTTACTTCCGTCTCTCCCTCCCTCTCTCTCTCTTTTTGGTTTTATACACCACCCTGCGTCGATCTTCTCTCACCCTCGTCCACCCTCTCCCCCCCCATATCCTCGTCGTTCTTCGTTCTGCGCGCGTTCGTCTCGCTTCGTCAACCACCCGTCCGCTGTCAAGCGTGAGCAGCGCGCTGCTCGTCGTCTCTCCGTTTCGCTTTTGCTCCGTTCCATCTCCAGCGAGCTGCCACACTCACACGCGCGCGTGCGCGCACGCATACATACATACATACATACATACATACATACATACATACAAATATATAAATATAGCTGGCTACCGCGATCGAGGGGTTAGAACGAGCAGAGGAACGAGGAAGCTGAGCAAGAGGGTGAACCGGCAGGGGTAACCCACCCCTCGCCGCGACGCCGATGTGGCTCTTGCCCATCGATTTTGTACGAGTTCGGGGCCGGAGCAACACCTGTTACCGCGTCGGATGGAAAAGAGACGGGGGTAGGGGGAGGGATACATATAGGAGAGAGGGCAACACACAGAGAGACCAGCGGGAGAGAGCTGTGCAACGACCAAGGCGGTCAAGGGGAGGGAGGCGAAGCGTAGATGGTGAGAGGGTGGTTGCTTCTAGCGGGTGGTAGAGAGTTATCTGGCGAGGGACGAGGACGCGATCATCTGACGTGGCAGCGAAATAGAGAAGGCAGAGAGGAGAAACATATAGAGATAGCGTGGAAGCTCGACGAATGGAAGGGTGACTCTGCACGATGGAAAGAGACGCGATCATCGTTGGAAGCGTTGCGAGGGTGAGCGAGTGAACGAGCGAGAGAAAGAAAGAGAGAGAGAGAGAGAGAGAGAAGAATGGAAGGGTGGCGAAGCAGGATGAACGGAGTAGAGGTGAGAACGTGCGATGAAGGAAGACGGGGATAATGGTGGAGGGTGGCGAGTCGAGGGTATAGAGGAAGAGAGAAAGGAAACGTCGGCGGCGGGCAAATAGCGACGTCGAGGAAACGCCGACGCCAATCGATAGCGCCGACCCCGGCGTCGTGCCGCGTTCGCTGCCAGGGTTTCGCGATAGCGCATCGCTCACGTTACCTTTCCTCTCTCTCTCTCTCTCGTCCCGCCTCTTTCTCTCTTCCACGCGCTCCTCGAGAATCTTTCGTACTTCTTCTCACTCACCACGCCAGCTTTCCGTCTCGTTTTTCCTTTTGATTTCTCCCCTTTGCCTTCGTTTACCACCCTCTCTATATTCCACCATTCCATCCTCCCACCATTTTTTTGCAGGCATTTTCTCTATCTCTGTCTCTGTCTCCTCTGGTTACAAGATGTCCTCGTTGCACGAAATAACTTTAGCTGTCTTTCTTCGTTCAATGCCATTCTTCCTTCTGTCCGCGTGATCGTAGAGAGTTTGTATGCGTCCCTTATAATCTCGGCGCTTATTCTTGGGACGTAGTCTAACCGTTCGTCTGCGCCGTTCGCGATAGCGCATCGTTCATCGCTTCACTCCGTTCTTGTTCATCTGAGAATTTGCTCTTCCACTCGCTCCTCCTCCCAACCCTGTTTATCCTTCGTGTTTCCCTTGGTTTAAGGGACACCGTAAAGGGTACACGATCCTCTTCTTTTTGCTGCTGGCGTGGATTTAATGATACACCTGAGGAGTGGTCGAAATTCCTCGCAGAGACGATGGAACTCCTCAGCTGATAGCTGCAGCTGAAAGTTTTCGTATTACTTGGGCGAAGTGG